GAGGGCTCTGAGCGAACGTTTCACCAGCAGGGTCTTCTTGAATCCTTGTGATCATTCTATGAGACAGGATCTGCGGTCACCCCCATTTTACAGGTGAGGAAACAGATGGTTAGTGAAAGCAAATGGTCCCAGGTGGTAGGCAAGGAAGCTGCGCAGCTGGGATGTGAACTCAGGTCTGTCTGATTTCAGAGGCCATAATGTGAACCATCACCCTATAGAGTCTCCCTCACAACTTCCTTGTCTTCAGATGTCTGTTTTTCACTGTGCCTGAGCTAAAGATATCCTCTTTTCTCTTATCTTGGTTGACATTTCTTGGTGACTATTTAAAACCTGTTAGTAAGCTTCTGGTTCATTGTAAACGCAGCCTCCCCTAGCTTCTCACTTCCTTGTTATAAGAATTTCTGTCTATTGCAAACATTGTGTGCAGGCATACTGGACTACTGGCTGAAGAAGAGGGTAATTTTTCTTTTTTTTTTTTCCTTTTTCTTTCTTTCTTTTTTTTTTTAGAGAGGGAGAGAGAGCATGTGTGCATGAGCAAGTAGGGGAGGGGCAGAGGGAAAGGGAGGGAGAGAGAGAATCCTAAGCAGGTTCCATGCTCAGCGTGGAGCCCAATGTGGGGCTCAATTTCATGACCCTGAGATCATGACCTGAGCTGAGATTAAGAGCCAGGTGCTTAATCAACTGAGCCATCCAGGTGCCCCAGGGGATAGTTTTTCTGGCATCTTAGATGATGTGCAGCAGGTTCCAGTGGCCTAAGCTTTGGGAATCCTGGTGTGATCTGTGTCACCCCTCAAAGCTCCCCATGGGAGGACGGAGACCCAAGAGCCCGGGGGCAAGTGAGGCTAGGGCCCACCCCAGAGGAGGCTATGGGTCAGCCAGAGGAAGGAGGGGCTGTCTCCACAGTTGCTTTAGAATCTGAGATTTATTTTTCTCCCAAAGTTTTCAGTATCTAATGCAAGGTCTTCATCTTCTCACTAGTCTTTTTTTTTTTTTCTAATAGACTTTATTTTTCAGATCAGCTTTAGATTCACAGCAAAGTTGAGCAGAAATACAGAGTTCCCACATGCCCCTGCCCCAGCCCAGCCTCCCAACCATCAACCTCCTGCTCCAGAATGGTACATTTGTTACATACGATTGATGAGCCAGCATTGACATGTCATTATTACACAAGAACATAGTTTACATTAGGACTCACTCTTGGTTTTGTACATTCTATGAGCTTAGACAAAGTGTGTCCATGATTACAGAATCCTACAGAGTACTTACACTGCCCTAAAAGTCCTGGTGTTCCCCCTTTTCATCCCTCTCTCCCTCTAATCCCTGGCAACCACTGATCTCTTCACTGTCTCCATAGTTTTGCCTTTTCCAGAATGTCATATAGTTAGAATCATACAGTATGTAGCCTTTTCAGATTGCCTTCTTTCATTTAATAACAGAACTTTATGGTTCCTCCATGTCTTTTTGTGGCCTGATAGTTCATTTATTTCTAGTGTTGAATAATATTCCACTCTCTGGATGGACCACAGTTTATTTGTTCATTCACCTACTGAAAGATGTCTTGGTTGCTTCCAAGTTTTGGCAATTAGGAATAAAGCTGCTATAAACATTTGTGTGCAGGCTTTTGTGTGGACGTAAGTTTTCAGTTGATTTGAGTCAATACCAAGAATTGCCGGGTCACATGGTTAGAGTATGCTGAGTTTAGTGAGACACTTCCAAACTGTCTTAAAATTGCTTGTACCGGGGCGCCTGGGTGGCTCAGATGGTTAAGCGTCTGCCTTCGGCTCGGGTCATGATCCCGGGGTCCTCAGGTCATGATCCCGGGGTCCTGGGATCGAGCCCCGCATTGGGCTCCTGGCTCAGCCGGGAGTCTGCTTCTCCCTCTCCCTCTGCCTCTCCCACTGCTCATGCTCTCTCTCTCTCTGTATCTCTGTGTCTCAAATGAATAAATAAAATCTTTAAAAATAAAAATAAAAAATAAAAAATAAATTGCCTGTACCATTTTGCATTCCCATCAGCAATGAACAAGAATTCCTGATGCTCCACATCCTTGCCAGAATTTAGTGTTGTCAGTGTTTTGGAATTTGGCCATTTTTTTTTAATGTTTTTTTTTTTATTTAAATTCAATTAGTTGACATATAATGAATATTGGTTTCAGCGGTAGAGGTCAGTGATTCATCAGTTTGTATGATACCCAGTGCTCATTACATCATGTGCCCTCCTTAATATGTCCATCACCCAGTTACCCCTTCCCTCCACCCATGGATTTTGGCCATTCTTTTTTTTTTTTTTAAAGATTTTATTTATTTATTCATGAGAGACAGAGAGAGAGAGAGAAAGAAGCAGAGGGAGAAACAGTCTCCCAAGGAGCACGGAGCCCGATGTGGGACTCGATCCCAGGACCCTGGGATCATGACCTGAGCCGAAGGCAGACACTTAACCATCTGAGCCACCCAGGCGCCCATGATTTTGGCCATTCTAATATGTGTAGCAGTATCCTATTATTATTTTAATCCCAAGCTGGGCTTTCTACATCAGGTCCAGTGGTGGCTGCCACAGGAGAACCCAAGACTTTCCTCCTTAGTTGCAACCTTTCTCTTCAGTGATAAAAGGAGAGCAGTTGATAAGAGAGCCTGCTCTTGCATTTCAAGCCAAATGTATAGAAGGAGACACCAAGGGGCTCCCCTCATTCATACAATATCAAACAATTCATCCATGTGCCCTGAAAACAGTGCTTCTCATTTCCTTGTTATAAGAATTTCTGTTATAAGAATCTCTTCCCCTAAACCATGCTGTGAAGGCTAACAGGGAAGAGGCCTGGGGTCTGGGCTCCCTCATCCTCTTGCTGGAAGGGCACCATCTGCTGCCCAGCATCATCTCCATCCCAGCTCCTAAATTGCTGCTCACCTTACCTTAAACCTTTTCTGAGCTTAACCCCCTGCCCACCTCCTGCCAGCCCCGACTGGGTTCATGAATCACCCTTGAATCTGTGCAGCCCCATGATTGGGACCAACTCAGCATGGCCAGGCCAGGAGGCGTCCTGAGGGTGGAGGCCAGTCTCAGTTCCCAAGAGATGGGACCACTGTCCAGTGGGGAGCTGGGAGGAAGATTTTGGGGAATTAGGACCAAGGCTGCTGTTCCCATTGAAAGCATGGGTTTGGGGCCAGATCAGACCCTTACCCCTTCCTTATTCATCCGCCCATGCATTCCTTCAACAAATGTAACTAAAGTACCTGTTAAGTCCAGGCACTGTACCTGGATCCCCATTCTGGGTGGAGACTTGACTCCCAGACGGCCTGGGTGCAGAGCAGGGGGACATAAGCGGACCAGCTGTGGGGATTTGGAAAGCCTAGGGCCGGTGGAAGAAGGCATACCAGTGAGCTGTATGGGGAGATGCTTCAGAGGATAGGTGGAGGGTGCTGGAAACTTCTTCCTTTAACCTCATTTACTAAGAAAACACCAGTCAGGACATATCTAGCACCAAGAAGAACAAACGCCACATCCCAGCTAGTAGTAGTGGCCCTTCCTACTGTGGAGTCCTTCCCCGGGGTGGGGGGGCAGGGGCTGCTGCTTCCCCTGACCCCGCCAGCTTCTCCCTGCTCTTGACAAACTTCCTCTGTGGTTGCAAAGGTGCTCAGAAGTCGGGGAGAAAAAAACTCCATAAAAGAAGAAAAAAAAGGAAGTAAGGACCCACAAGGAGGAACTCACGGGGAAGGAGAAGTTACGCTTTCTTCTTAAAAGAGCAATCGTCTCCTGCTCTCTCCACTTCTCTGCTTCCACCAGCTCCTGGTTACGATGTGTGCTCCAGTGAGCACATGAGGAGCTGTACCAGTCTAGAGCTGTTTATGGGCACAGGGGCTTTGGCACCAGGCTCCTAGTGGAAACACATTTGCTGGAAAATACTATCCTGCCCCAGTGGCTAACTTACAATTTCTGTCTTTCTCCCTACCCCAGACAGTGGGTGTTAAGAGGCGAGTTTTGCTTCACCATATTCATAGGAACCCAAGGGGAAGTTTCCAGAAGTGTGTGTGGGGGGGGGGGGGGGGGTGTTCAGGACAGACCACGATGCCTACTCCAGTGCATTCTCTTTGATGATGTCGTGAGAGTAACAACCCAACCACAGAATCTCCAAAGACATAGGGGTCATTGAATATCAACAGTAAGACACTGGGAAAAGCAATTGCCAATGGCCTTGCACCCATTTGGGCCAGCTGGTGAAGCTGCTGGGCTCTGGCTTTGCCCCCCAAGAGCTGCTTGTCACCCGAGTCTGGTCGCATCTTGGGGAGGCTGGATCCAAGGAAGTAGTCACAGAGAGGGACCTTTGGAGCTGGTGGACTAAGGACCTTCGTCCCCAAACAGGGTGACCCAAAGGCTCTTAGTCTGGCTCAAAATTTATCCTCTCTGAGCACAGTGGAATTTTCAGGCCCACCACTGACCAGAGCCCTACACCCAGTGAAAGTGGGAGAAAGTTTCTCATTGACTGAAGGACAAAGGGAGGGGACTCTTGCTTCCCCGTGGGGAGGGGAGGTTCCAGCTACCACGCTAGGGACAGGGATTCCTGTCTCCTTTATCCCCTGGTGAGGCACCTTCCCATGACCTCCTAAGGCTGAGAGCCAGGGCCTACATATAAGGACAAATAAGAGGGTGGGCACATCCTCCCAGGATGTTCAGAGGGAAACACTCCCCATAGAACCAAGGGCTGGGGCGTGGGGGAAAATGGGATGATGTTGCTCAGAGGGCACAAACTTTCAGTTATAAGCTAGGTTCTGGGTTTAGTATAGTTCCTATAGTATGATGACCATAGTTAATAATACTGTGTTGTATACTTGAAATTTGCTAAGAGGGTAGATCTGAAGTGTTCTTCCCACATCAAAAAAAAAAAAAAAAGGATAAATATGTGAAGTGATGGGCGTGTTAATGAAGTAGGTTGTGGTGTTCATTTCACAAGGCGTATATATGTTAAATCATCACTTTGTGACCCTTTAAAAAATCACATTTACACCTTAAATATATACAGTTTTATTTGTCAATTATAGCTCAATAAAGCTGCAGGGGCAAACAAAGGGAAACATTCCAAACTGGTGTGTTTGTGTGTGTTTGCGTGTGGGTAGACACATCTCAAATGGGGCCATTCCTTCTCACGTGAGGTGGCGCTCCCTTCGGTGGAAGGACCCATGGCCCCTAAGGCGTAAAGTGGCCAAGTCCACCCAAATGGACAAATGAAAAAAATGTCATTTATCACAGACATTTTTAATTATTAAGATTATTGAAACAAATTAATTATGAAGATTATTAAAATATCATCATGTAGGGGAGGCCACATCATTTCCCTCAGATGGTTTTCCTGACTGCCCTCCCCAACCTTGAAGTAGTTTCTGAGGCCCATCTTGACTGGCTTAAGAAAAAACCCTTATATATCAGAAGCTCAGACATAGAGCAGGCTGAGCTGGTCTCAGGAGTGAAGGAGACCAGGGCGTGGGCAGGGCTCCATCTCTCTGTCTCTGTCTGCACCCCTATTGCTTCTCTCTGTGCTTCAGTCACTCACGCCATACCCCAACTTCTTCCAGCAGAGAGGACGCGGCTTGGGTCCCACCCCAGCAGCTCCGACCACGAGCCCCAGCCCCACGTTGGGTAGGGTGGGGCATTTGCTACCCGAAGGAGTAGGAAAAGTCCAGGGAGACATGACACCTCAAGAGGGCCCCAAGTTGTGTCCCTGAGCTGTGTAGAGCCGGGAGGGTGCCCGGCCAGCCCTTCAGCGCCCCCAGCCTCAGTCACTGCCTCCCGAGGACCCAGGGGCATTTCTTCCACGGCCTGTGTCTCCTCTGGAAATGGGGTCCCAGGGCGGAAGATTCCGCTCATCTGTCTGTCTAAGGGGCTGTGTCTCTGACAAGATCAGAGGACAAGTTCATACAGATGGACGGTCTCTGCTGAGGCCCCTTCAACCAAAGGACAGCACTGACCAATGCGAGCAAGATGGGCACCTTCAGGAGCGCCAGGAGAATGTAGTGGTGCCTGCAAGAGGGGACAGAGCCGTCAGAGCCTTAGGCACCCCCAGCCCCGTCACTCCCAGCGCCCTGACAGTGGGGAGCATTGGCCAGCCCCGCAAAGCCTGTGACCCTGGGCCTGGCAGCCCCACTCCGAAGACCCCCGTGAACCTGCTCAGTGGCTCAACCATGAGGGCTCCTCGGAAGGAACTTCACCTTGTTGGTTTTGCTTTGCTCTGGGCCCACCTTCCTTTCTAATTGCACCTCCTGCAGCTCCCCTTTCCCGAAGTGCATCTCCGCACCTTAGGGTCGCCCTCGACAGGCTGTGTGCCTTTGCCACCCCGAAAATGCCAGTTCCAGGCGGCTGAGCCACGCTCCTGCCCCGCAGCACCCAGTGCCTCGCACTGTGGGGATTTTGTCTTATCTCCCCTTGGCACGCTCGAGGTCATCAGGGCTTTTTTTTGTCAACAACTGAATGTAGAGAAAGGTTCTGCAGAATGGCTTCCTGGGGAGGGTGGAATGGGGAGATGGGGGGTGAGGGGCAACACGGGCAGGAGCGAGTTGGTGGGGGGGTGGCTTTGGGCCTTGAGCCTGGCTGTGACAGTTCTGGGGTCCCATGAGGGTGCAGACGCAGAGTAGGAGAGGCCCCAGGTAGGGGCAGGGTAAGGACGGCCACCACTCACCTGATGTAGGAGTCGGACAACACCCTTGCATGGCCGCTGGTAGTTGTTCTAGAGAGCGGGCTCGCCCAGGTGCTCAGAACCATGCCCACTAGACACAGGCAGAGTCGGTCACAGGTTATGGGGACAGACGGGGGCTCGTGGGCGGCTCCCAGGGTCCTGCCCCCGCCCCCTCCGGGAAGCCACCCTGCCCCTGGACTGGGAAGCTGGATATAGTCCCCAGGCTTCTCCCTTTCTGCTGGGTTTTCTTTTTCTTTTTTTTTAAGATTTTGTTTACTTATCTTAGAGGTAGGTGGAAAGACAGAGGGAGAGGGAGAGGGAGAGAATCTCAAGCAGACTCCCCGCTGAGCACAGAGCCCAACACGGGGCTCTGTCTTACCACCCTGAGATCATGACCTGAGCCGAAACCAAGAAGCAGATGCTTAACGGACTGTGCGGCCCAGGCGCCCTCTGCTGAGTTTTCTGAACCACCACTTAGTCGCTTTCCATCAACTCAGGTGTGGCACGAAGAAATAAAAAGGAAACAGGAGCCTGCACTCTTGCTCTGGGAGGTGCTTCTGGGGAGAGAGATCTGTCTTTCCACTTCTCTCCACTTACCCCTCAAGGTGGGACTTTAGCCAGGGGGGATACATTGCTGGTCCTCAAGCAGTGCCTGAGCTGGGCTCAAGGACATGTGGTTCTGGAAATGGGGTGCCCAGGTATTGGGGTGATAAGGAAGAGGAGGAGGACTCCAGAGGGCTGGTGAATAAGAGGGCACATTCTGGTTCAATCGTGAGCAATGGCTGTGATAAATTAAACATCTTTATGAGAAACTATGAAGACAGTTTGTGGTCGGCTACTTGGTCATGGATTCCTGAGACCAGCTTGGCACTGAGTGTTCATGACCTATTTTTTAGTTGAGTCCTAGGCCTGAGGAGACCCCAGGACAGCCAGAGGGGTCCCTGATGTTGGCATAATGATCAAAGCCTTCCTTTCTCCTTACAGCAACCACTGTTACTTGAGCCCCTTCCTGGGTCCCTCTAATTCCTTGCTTGTTCTTATGCTGCCAGGGAAAGTAGTGGGCAGGGCGGCTGGGGGCCCAGAGAGGAGAGGCACTGTCAAATGCCCAGAGCTACTCTGTGTTGGCCAGGTTCTTGAGGTTCAGTGCTGGGACACTCTGGGCTTCCCCAGGTGTCTCCCCTGCCCCTCTCTGTGTAGTGACGGGTCTGGAGTATGACTACCAGTGACCACTGCCTGGAGCAATGCCCTGGGATCCAGGGCATCCAAGGTCCACCCATACCTCTGATGAGAGACTGTGGGGCTGCCAGGGTTGTGGGTCCCCAGGAGAGCTGGCCTGGGCCATGGGCAATGAAGGCGGGGTCCACGTCCCCACCCCTACCCCAAGACCTGCCAGCCTTGCGTGCATCAGCCAGATGCCTCAGGTGACCTCAGGGACTGTGATGGGGACCCTGTTCTCAGGTACTCAGCCATTTCCCTTCTGCCCTTGGGGAGGGGAAGCAGAAGCCCTCACTCTTTCTGTCCTGAGGATGAGGGCCTCACTGCGTAAATGAGAAAGTTCTTACCTGGGTCAATGGTCACTTTGATAGGTGTCCCAGGGTCGGGTCCATATCTGCTAATCCCACACCAGTAAGTGTCTGTGTCATCTCGCCTGACGTCCTCCATGGTCACAGTGAACAAGCAGTGACTCTGGTTGTCCCTGATGGACACACGGTCTGTCTTCATTACTTGCTCTGATCCATTGGTTTGGGCGAGGATCTGGCATGATATCCAGTCTGCTCCGCGACACCACCACTTCTCGTAAGTCTCCCATTCTGCTGTATAGTGACACTGCACGCTCACCAAGCCCCCTTCTAGACCCCTCACGGACTCTGGGCCTTGGATGGAGAAACAGCCTGGAAAACAGAATCCCAAGATACAACTCCTACCACCTTGAGCCAGGCCTGGTCTGGGAGTCTCATGGGCTCAAGTGGCCCCAGGTTGGTGTCCAGGGACTGAGCCAGGGTCCGGGCCTTTGCAGCCACCTCCTAGCTGACCCCAAAGATCCGCCTCCTCTGTCCAGCTTCCCCATCAGCTCCCGCAGTGATAATGTCCGGCCTCTTTGGTCCTCACTTCCCTGGTCCTGCCCACAATGTCACCACTCCTGACTTTCTGACAGTCTTTCTTGGCTTTGAAACTTCGTCCTCATCCACTGTCCTCCTTCTCCGACTGCTCATCTCTGAGGCCTTTACTGATTTCTCTTCCTCCCTCTTTAAATCTTGGTGCAAAAATGGTATGTTGGTAAATACTTAAAAACTAGCCCTCTGGGAGGAAAATCTCCATTTGTAGCATTTTCCAGTTTCTGTAGTGTAAATATTCCCACCCCGGTTGATCTCAGGCAGTCAGTGCAATGTCACTGGACACACAGCTGAGAAGAGTCAGTTCTTGCAAGCCAGTGTGAACCAGCCCCAGAGCGCTGCAGGGGGAGCTCAGGGGTCCCTCTCCAGTCCTCATTTTGTCCCACTTTATTACACCCCCATGGAGGGATTCTCCCTTCCTCTGATTTTGGTTATTGCCAACATGCTGATGGTTCCCCAAATCCATGTTTGTGGTCCACATTCTTTCCTTAGCTCCAGCCTACTGTTTCCAAATACACACTGTACATCACTAACCCAAAGTCAACCACTCCCCAGTGCCTCGGAATGATTTAAAATGCTTTCGTTGGGCATTCAACTTCTTTTTTTTTCCATTTCAGATCCAAATTCTCTGACCAGCACCATTTCCTGCTCCTCCTTGCCTTCCACTGGACCTTATAACCCACCCCCACTTTTCTCTTCCTCTGAGCCTGATGAGCCTTCCCAGGCGCTATATCACTGCTCATGTCCTTCCTTCCACCTGGAAACCCTTCTCCGAGCCCAGCCTGCCTACTGATCACCTTATTCCCTTTCCCAACTAGAATTGCTTCCTCCTGTTGCTCCATGCCCTTATAGGAACCTGAGTCCCACACTGGTATTTTGTATCATTACCAGTCTCTCTCTCTCTCTGTCTCCCTTACTAGGACGCTCTGTCCTGAAGGGCAGAGACTTTGGATTTGTGTTTTCTCTCTTCCCCAGCCCCAGTCCCATGTCTTGCATGGTATCTGGATTCTGGAAGGTATCAATAAAGTTTATGATTGTTTTTGAGAAGGCGCTGGCTGTCATTAGGTTTTTTCAAAGTTGCCTAACAGAGTGTTTGGATTCCTTTTCTGTGTTTTTCTGTGGTGCATGCATAGAAAAAATTGAACACTAAGTGTTGTAAGCTCTTAACAGTGGTCACTGCTGAACCTGGGGCTTGGGGTGAAGTTTCCCTTTCTAAATCACGTATTTCTATTATGTGTAAATGTTTACAATATCATTAACTGATAAAAACAACTAAGAAAAAAAATTTTAATAATTGAAAGGACTCAATTAGGAAAAAGATTGCTAAGAGACAGTAATTGATGTCAATGAAAATCAAATACAAGAGTTGGCAGAAAGGGTGGTTTTCTTTCTTAAGACAACAATAGCAACAACACAGCTACGATCCAAAGCTGAGGGTCAGTTAGATGGTATTTTCCAACAATCAAAAATAAGGTTAGAGATGTTGCTGCTTCGAAATAGAAGTTTCATCAATCCCAACTTTGCTAATTTAATCTGGCAGTAAAGCATTCATAATGTGATTTGGCTTGTTTTTGAAAAACTATGTGGGAAGTTTTCATAAACACAGACTGTGATGGGGAGAACTATTAATCAGGTCTCTATGTTTTGTTGAGAGTTGATCTGATTGAAGGTGGAGATGCGAGGATAGCAGTCAGCTGGGAGCAGGACTCAGGAACAGGGCCAATGGGTTTTAAAAGTATAAGGCTGTTTGAATCTCAATTTTTCCTTTCCCTGACTCTGAGATGTAACCTCTCTCCTTCATGTCAATCCTTCGGGAAAGTTTGCTCCATGTGCACCACCCTTGTGTGAATAACCTTGTGTCAAAGTCAAGAAAATAGTTGAGCTCCCTGTCTTGGCTGATAGCAAGGCAACCAAGGGGAGAGCTCAGAGCAGGGGGCCTCATGGGGCATGGGATGTGCAAAGGGGTTTGAATCCACCTCGTTTTGCACTGATGGGGCAGGGCATCCCTGCTGGTGTCCCCACACAGCCTTGCCAGCTCAAGTGCTGAAGAGTAATTGCTGGTGTACAGGTCTGTGCTCCTGTTCCCCCACTTGCAAACACTCACTGAGCACCCATGGATGCCAGTGCCCTACCTTCCCCTCAGGGCTGCTGCTGGACTGTGTGACAGAGGCGACAGGAATGTCCTACTGGAAGCTGGGTCATTCTGACTTCACTCCATCCACCTTCTTTCCTTTTCATTTCACAGAAGTAACCCCAGAGCATCTAAAGGCAGTCTGTTAGTGGGTTGGCTTGTCTTGCATCATTGACTACTTCACCCCCTTCCTTCGTGAACTTGCAGAGGAGGAGGGACACCCTGTCTTGTTTCTGCAGCCAAGCCACCCTGCCCAAAGCCACAGAACAGCCACTGTGGGTCTCAGCCTTCATCTAGGGGAAAAGACTGTGTCAGTGTGTGCATATAAGGGACACTGTGTGTGAGTGTGCGTGTGCACATGAGTGTGTGTCTAACACTATATGAGTGTGTGAGCACACAGATGTGAATGGGGGCATGACTGCATATGGGTGTGTGCATCTGACTCCATTGTATGAGTGTGTTGTGTGTGGGAGCCCAGGCAGTTCACCTTTCCTCTTGGCCTCTGGGTGAGCTGGATGTTGGGGTTAAGAAAGAGAGCAGATGGGGGTCTTTGAATTCAAATGCAAAGCTAGAGTCCAGGGGGAGAGGCAGACATTCTGAACTGCTGTCCTTTGGGAATTCTGGGCTGTTCAGAGTCCTGCCTAAGGGGCATAGTGGTCACAGAGAAGCCACCCGTCTACAGGTATCATCACGGGGCTTCTATCACTGATAAAATCAGAAATGGCCTTGACAACTTAAGAATGACCACAGCCCTTGTCTATTTACATCTGATCTGAATAGCAGAGTCCCCCAACATTACAGCTAGGAAGGGCATCAGAGACATTCCATTCACATCAGAAATCCAGGTCTTAGAACAAGGAGGGGGCTTGCCCATGTCATGCGCTCTTGTCAGGACTGGAACTCCAGTCTCCCAAATCCCTGGCTATGCCCTCTTTTGGGAACCCCTTTGGACCAGTCTGTTTTGCTAGAAGGTCTGTCTCCCGGCTCATAGAGAAGGCTGTGTGTGACCCACATGCACAGCATACATTGTGCAAACTTTTGGACTGACCCTAATGTCCTCTCGGTGTGTGTAGTAGCTTTCCACAGAGAAGATACATGACCCCCTCCCATCTCCCTCCTGGGTTCCTGAGCAATTTTCTCTTTGAAAGTCTCGGTTCCTGGGCATGGCGTCCAAGGTCCTTCTTAATCTTGTCTTGTGCGTTTCCAACCTCACGGCCAACCAGTCACCCCAAGGCCCCTTGCACACTGAGGGCCTCTGTGCATGAATGCACCATCCTTTCTCAAGCCTCCATGTCTTGGTCAAGCAGTCCGCTCTCCCTGGAATGTTCTTCTCCCTTCTCTGCTTGAAGGGTTGATCCATTTCTTCAAAGCTCATCCAATGGATGGTGTCTGTATGGCTTTCTGTATCTCCTTCAGCCAGACCTGCTTGGGCCTCTGAGCACCCCTCCATCAATGCCTGCCATTGGGTTGCTCTTTATCTGCACATCTCACCCACTGAGCTGTCTGGGGTCCCCTTTCTAATGGCCAGTCCTGTTCTTTTTTTCCCTTCAAGTCCTCAGGGCCCGGTGAATGCCTGGCACAAAGTAAGAACCCAGCGTGCTTTTTTGCTGAATTAATTAACTAAACCACCTCTCATTTCCCCAGATATGACACCTCCCCTTCTGCCTGGGATAGCTCTCGGTCCCCTGCCCTGGCCCAGGGGGACCAACTCCCCAGAGCCCCCACCACACTCACCTGGGAAGCTGAGCAGGAGAAGAACTAGCCACAGCCGCATGGTCCTGGCTCCCAGGCTCCTTGCCCCTCTGCCGACAACTGGAGAGCACACTCGGATCCCAGTTGGACTCTCACAGCTCTGCCTGAGCCCAAGCTTGCACTTTGTTTGGGTTGCCTTTGAGTTTCTGACCCACTCACTTCCTTTTGTAAAGTATTTCCTGCTTTTAATTATTCAGCAAATTGAGTGTCCTTTCTTGGAAGGGCTGGGGCACAGGACGTAGAAGTCGCTGCCACATAGGAAAGAGGAAACCGGGCTGTATGGAGTGAGGAGGGGCAGGGTATGTGTCTGCAACAAGGGCAGACCAGGGGGCATCTGGCCTACCAGGCTTTGGGTCCAAGGGGTACAATAGTCTGGGTGTCAACTCCAGAAATGTTTCTCTACCACAGCAATGGGTCCCAGCAGCAGGAAACATCACCTCCTTCCTACTCAGGTGTCACATGAGCCAGCTTGCCATACTTGGAGATGCGTTTGTTCAGGTGTTATAACCAAGGGCATAAAAGTGCAGGCTGGGGGCGCCTGGGTGGCTCAGTCGGTTAAGCGTCTGCCTTCGGCTCAGGTCCTGATCCCAGGGTCCTGGGATGGAGCCCCACATCGGGCTCCCTGCTCAGCGGGAAGCCTGCTTCTCCCTCTCCCACTCCCCCTGCTTGTGTTCCCTCTCTCGCTGTCTCTCTCTGTGTGTCAAATAAAGAAATAAAATATTAAAAAAAAAAAAGTGTGGGCTGGAGGATCAGACAGACCTGGGCTCTAACCCTGAGCACCACTTACAAACTGTGTGAGCATGGACAACTTACTGAACTTTTCTGAGCCTCAGTTTGTGTATCTGTAAACTGGGTTATGATGGGAATAACAGAAGAGTTGTTACGAGAATTAAGTGAGAAAAAGTGTGTGAAGCTCTGAGGACACAATCCTGGGATCTGTGTTAGTGTTCGGGGCAAAACTTCAGATGCTCGATGAAAAGTTGCATAAAATAAACCCAGGGCAGAAAGCTGAGAGAGAGAAGGCTGATGGACTGGGTTTCCTCATTAGTAATAAGGCAAATTCTAGCCTTAACCTGACATAATTTAATTCGCATCCTGATTTATAACCCAGTAGCTAAAATTCTTAAAGAACAGCTTTGGGAAACAGATGAGTGTCTGGCCTGGTATCCAGGCCAGGCTGTGGAGGGAGGAGGTCTTCTGGAGGTCCTGTGGTTGGGGACACATTCAAAAAGGCTGAGAGGAGGAGGACGGTTCAGTCCTGTAGTGATGCAAATCATATTACAAATAGAAATCAAAAGGTACTGGCATAAAAACATATAGATCAGAATTGAGGGGCGCCTGGCTGGCTCAGTCGGTAGAGCACGTGACTCTTGCTCTTGGGGTTGTGAGTTCAAGCCCCATGTTGGGTGTGGAGATGACTTAAATAAATAAAACTTTAAAAAAACATAAACATATAGACCAGAATTGAAAGCCTACAAATAAGCTCCCACATATAAAGTCAACTAATATTTGACAAGAGACCCAAGAATAGCCAATGGGGGAAAGTATAGTCCCTTCTAGAAATGGTGATAGGAAAACTGGAGAAGAATGAAACTGGACAGTGCACAAATATTAACTTAAAATGAATTAAGACTTAAACGTAAGACCCAAAACTGTGACACTTATAGGAGAAAACAGAGGAAAAGCTCCTTGACATTAGTCTTGGTAATAATTTTTAGATGTGACACCAAAAGCACAAGCAATGAAAGCAAAAATTAACAAGTAGGACTGCATCAAATTAAAAACTTGTACACAGCCAACAGAAACAATCAATAAAATAAAATAAAAAGATAACCCACAGAATGGGAGGAAATATTTGCAAATCATATATCAGATAAAGGGTTAATATCCCAAATATTAAAGAGCTCATACAACTCAATAACAACAACAACAAAATAACAATTCCAATAATATGATTGGTCTCGTTTTTTAAAAAATATGTCAGGGTCCCTGAGTGGCTTGGTCGGTTAGGTGGCTGACTCTTGGTTTCGGCTCATTTCAAGACCTCAGGGTCCTGGGATCGAGCCCCGCGTTGGGCTTGGCACTCAGTGGGGAGTTTGTTTGAGGATTCTCTCTCTCCCTCTCCCTCTACTCTCTCTCAAATAAATAAATCTTTAAAAAATAAATTAAAAACAAAAATATGTGGGAAGTTTTCATAAACACAGACTGTGATGGGGAGAACTATTAATCAGGTCTCTGTGTTTTGTCGAGAGTTGGTCTGATTGAAGGTGGAGATGCTAGGATAGCAGTCAGCTGGGAGCAGGACTCAGGAACAGGGCCAATGGGTTTTAAAAGTATAAGGCTGTTTGAATCTCAATTTTTCCTTTCCCTGACTCTGAGATGTAACCTCTCTCCTTCATGTCAATCCTTCGGGAAAGTTTGCTCCATGTGCACCACGCTTGTGTGAATAATCTTGTGTCAAAATTGAG